CCTGAGTTGTTTCTCAGCTGCCCTCCCCCCCACAAGCAGCCACAATTGCAGCGCTGGAGAGCTGGTTCAGACATGGACAGGGCATCCACAAACCAGTTTTCCCTGAAGATGAAGGGGGCAGAGTGCGTTCCAAATATGTGTCTTAGCCTGAGGTACTGGCACCCTCTCGGCATATTCAGAACAGCAAAGGATTCGGGAGGAAAAAGGTAGCGTGAGTCTTAGATTTGTCCCTTAGAGAAATTGATGAGACCCATGGGTTGCAAGCTTGGGGGAGGGGGCAGCAAGGGAGTGAAAATTAGTCTGAATAATTCTGCTCCAAGTAGAGGATTCTAAAGGAGATCAAACAAAAATGCAACCCCTCTCTTCGCCCCATCCTGAGTTCCTTGGAGGAGCTTCCTCTGCCTGCTTCATCAGGAACACTCCTGGAGAGAAAACAGGGGGACTCTGTTTCTGCCCTGGTCCCCTGGTTGCCCGGAGTACATCTTTCTTTTGCTCTTCTAGGAGCCCTGAGTTTATTTGTGATGTCTTTTTCCTTTTCGCTCTGTGCTGGTCCTCTCATACTTTGAGTCAAATAAGGTTTTTACTTGGCCAACATCCCCATTTCTTCTAATCTATTATTCATCCTGCCGTCATGTGTTCAGCTCACCTCCCTACAGCGTCTCTAGCCATTTCGTCCTCCTCTGTACATCTGTGATTCGCCTGTGTCGGGACATCAGCTCAATTTGTCTCATTCAATCCAGAGCTCAATCCGTCTTCATTTTCCTCTCATTGCCCAAGGCTTCGGGCTTGATGTGGGTCTTGGGGTTTCTGAGGGGAAGTTATACTTGGGTTGAGCATGGAAGCTAACCTCAGGTCACACTTACCCCTGGACGTTGTGTCTTCTCAGCCCTCGTGGCTCCTCTAACCCACTCTAACTGCTCCTTGTCTTTGGACAACATGGCCCTCGGTGTGTGGTCCCCAGACCAGTAGCTTTAATGTCATCTGGGAACAGGGTAGAAATGCAGATTGCCAAGCCCCACTCCAGACCTACACTATATCAGACATTCTAGGGGCAGGCCCAGTGATCTGTTTTCATAGTGTCCCCCTCCCCCCCCCGCCCCCAGTTGTGATGCATGCACGTTTGAGAGTCCGTGGTCCTGAACAGTAGAGCTCAACCCTGACAGACCTCCAGCAAAGGGGCTTCTCTGATCCCATCTCATTCTTCCCTTGAGCTTTTCTCTAGCTTTAAGAACGACATTAATTCAATGGCCAAAAAAAAAGAAAGAAAAAAAGAATTATAGCCTATACATTCGATATGTCTTTATTAAATACCTATGTACTGGGCTTGGAAAACATAGCCCTTGTCCTCATTGTGTTAAAAGTGGAGCAGCAGAGAGACACATAAACAACTAACTGTAATACAACATGATAAGTACAATAATAGCAGCCTGCTGAAGTGCTACGGGAGCACAGAGCGGGGAATGATCTCCTCTGAGGGAGGTAAAGAATTAATCAGGAGGAGGATGTGGTGAGAGGAGGAATTAGGGAATGAGACAGGCTCTAGCCCCAGGGATAGGATTTCTAGCTTTGAATGCCAGCTAAAACGGAGAAAGGGGAAGGGGGGCGGGGGCTGGAGGGAGCAGCTGCCTGTGAGGATCTATCGGCACCGGCACCGGCTGAGCAATCCAGAAGCATTTGGAATCTAGCAGGACCCCCAGCTTGCAGCTGGCAGAAGTTGGCTTTATTGTAGCATGAACAATGTAAGCTACTTGGGTCTGGCCTCCAGGTCAGTGGCTAAGAATACAGTGCTGGTGCACTGTAATCGGGATTAGCTGCTGTACCACCCTCTCTCCAGAGTTCAGGAATCCACGGTGGAGGAGAAGGTTGACCAGTCTCCGGTGCAGAGAGAGACGGGGGTCATGGGCTGGGGGGCAGGCAGACTAAGGACATGTGAGCAGGGAGACCCAGATCACAGGCAAGGAATGATGCACTCAGTGAAAAGGAACCAGAGCAGGACCTGGGTAGAAGACACTGGAATAGAAAACTATAGGGCTCGGAGATGGCAGCAGGGAACACAGGCAGAGCACACAGCATGTTCTCCAGAAGTCCAGGGCCTGCAGAGCCCAAATGCTGGAAAACCCAAACTCAGAAACAGCGAGAGAGGCCTCAGAACCAGCAGAGAGCAGTGTTTTCACATGCAAGTCTGTGGGGATGAGCTCCTTGGAGTCCCAGCGTGGGGGCCTGATGAGGAGCTGTGACCGGTAGACAGCACTGCCATCTCGGTTCCTTTTCCTTTTTTTTTTTTAAATATGTTTTTATTGATTTCAGAGAGAGGAAGGGAGAGGAAGAGAAAGATAGAGGGATAGAGGGGTGAGAGAGAATCATTGATTGGCTGCCTCCTGCATGCCCCCTACTGGGGATCGAGCCCTCAACCCGGACATGTGCCCTGACTAGGAATCGAACCATGATCTCCTGGTTCATAGGTCGATGTTCAACCATTGAGCCACACCAGCCGGGCTCTGCTCCATTTCTGTATGGCAACATCTCCAGAAACTCAGCACACAAAACATGTATGTCAAAATTTGATTTGGCCAAAGGACCATTCAAGTGGCTGAATTTTTATTTGGAAAAAGGGGAGGCTCCAACTCCATACTTTCTCCCCTGTTTGATAAGATTCCACATAGAGGCTATAACAGCCAGACCTTGCTGGGAAGTCTGGATCCCGTGGCTGGGCCCCAGTAGGATTCCTTGGGAGGACCAAGTTGGATCACCGAAAGGAAGCCAAAGCAGTCCGTATTTGGGTTTTGGTCAACTTATGGGTGCCCCAGAGACACACGGTAATTTGGAGACCAGGCCAGGCAGTCCACTTCTTTAAGTTTCTGCTCTTTGCGGGATACAAAGGTGTAAAGCAGGGTTTGGAATCCTCACAGGCCTTCAGGGGCCAGGCAGGTAATAAAAACCCATGGTGTGGCTGGGAAGAAGACAAAAGGGAATGGTGGGGGCTAGAGAGAAATGGGAAATGCAGGCCCACCTAGAGGAATCCAAAATCAGTTATTTATAAAACAGTTTACTGGCCACACTCTGGGGGACTGGCTTTAGTGGGTTTGTGAGTCCTGATCAAAGGAAAAGGGGTCATGGAAACAGAAGGCCAGGGGCCGTGTATGTAGGAGTTTTCGAGGGGAGGTGTACGCAGGGAGAGTGTAAGTGCTAGAGATGTCCGTCCCAAAGCTAAGCGTGAGCATGGCTGCTGGGGAAGGGCCGAGAAGAACGGAATTGAAATGGTCCTGGGTTTAGGCTGCTGCCCTGTCCAGCTGAGAGGTGACTCTGGCTGAGGTCATGCCTGGCCCACACCACTCTTTGCTCAGGGTGACTCAACTCTGACCTAGAGTTTATTTTTATATAAATATTTACAGAGCAAATTCGAAGAATCTGTTAGGGGAAATGAGGGACTTAAAATGAGAGAGGAGGCCTAGTGAAATTAAGCTCCTTTGAAAGGAGTGAAAGCCACATCTAGGAACCCCAGACCTTAGCTCCTTCTCACCTCCTCAGTGCTGCTCCCAGGGAAGTCCTTGTGCGTGTTGTCTCTTGGGGAGAAAGGGGAGGGGCAGACAGTCCTGACCTTCACGTGGGTCAGGTTCAGCTTCATGAAACCAGTTAATGACAGAAGCCAAGTTCTGCCTTTGTGTGCCCATGGGAACACACCTCCCTACCCACTCACATCTCACCGCCCATCCCTTCTTCCTCCCCAAACCTCACAAGAAAGACACACACACACACACACACACACACACACACACCACACACACACACAAATTCTCTGTACCTCCTCTCCAGAACCAGAAACTGCCAAGATCACAGCCCCGACCCTAGGAAGTGCTACTAAGGATTAAAATATATCTTTGTATTTGAGAGGGACTAGGAAAATGAGTAATGCAGAATTTGGGGTTCAGACAAAGTTACAGATCCAGCCAGGCTCTCCATTCCCTTGGATGGCTGCTGAATGCAGAGTTTCACAGGAACTTTGGACAGTAGAGGCTTTTTACAATTCCCTAGCAGCTAATCTGAAGCTCATTTGTTAGTTTTGAGAGGCACAGAGTTTGCGTAACGTGGAGTTGTAAGTAGCTCTGGCGAGCATGCTGGTCCTGATTTCCCCAGCCTGGGCCCTGGAAGGGACGATGTGTGCTGATAGCTCCCGGGGAGCTCGGAAGGGCTCCAGGAAGTTCGAGGAACATGTAAATGTTGTGAGCAAGAGTTTGTCCTCCAACGTCACAAGGAAACTCGCTTCAAACCCCAGCCCTGCTCCTTCCATCTGTGTGACCTTGAACCGTGACTTAACTGTCACAGTGCAACTTCTTCATCTATGAAATGGGGATGCTAATGGAGCCATGGATTATGATGGGGTGATGCATGTGTCACAGCTGACATCCATCAAGCACCTTGTAAGTATCCCTGTCACAAAATTTTTAGAAAAAAAGGGAAACAAAAGGGGGAGAACCGTACTGTGTCCTCCTTGGAACTCCTGGGCATCATCAGTGCAGCAGTCTTTCTGGTGCATCATAGATGCATCTTAGCTCGAGAGCAGGATCCCCGTCTTTTCATCTCGAATCACCTGCAGAGCATAGAAAAAAAGAACTCTGGTCTACGCTCATTATTGCTCCAGGGGCCCCACGCCTTTACCCTGGTTTACGCACTGCTGTCCTGAACCACGCTGAAGCCATCGCCACTTGCAGCCCCAGCTCTGTCCACTGTCCCTCTCTGGCCGGAGGCCCTGGAGCCCTGCCTGCCCACTGCTTCGCTCTGAGACACAGTTGCCTTCCTGCCTCATTCCACTGCGTCCTGTCCCCCACCAGGGACGGCTTTCCCTCTGCACCGGGGGCTCCTTGCCATTGACAGAAAAACCAACCACAGTCTTTGGCCGTCAGGAGAGGGAGCAGACCTTGGGCAGGTGGAGAGAAGAACATGGTGAGTGGTGGGCTCAGTGGCCCCAAGATGCTCCTCATCAGCCATATTCCCCCTTGCAGGAGCAGGAGGCCACCCACCACCATGAGCAGCACCCTGTCACCCACAGACTTCGACAGTTTGGAGATCCAGGGCCAGTACAGCGACATCAACAATCGCTGGGACCTGCCTGACTCGGACTGGGACAATGACAGCAGCTCAGCCCGCCTCTTTGAGAGGTCTCGAATTAAGGCCCTGGCAGGTGAGAACAGGGGAGGGCCCAGGGAGACGCTGAGGACACTGGGGACAGGAGCTTATCGGGAGGAGTCCTTTAACTTCACGGGAAGGCAGGCTTTCTGAGCTGCTGCATGGGAGTGGCAAATCCACATCACCCTATCAAGACCCTGGTCCCCAACTCCAGCCTTCACAACAGGCTTCATGCAATCCAGAACATCCCCCGGCTTCCCTAACCCCAGCAGAGAGAGGTCCTGCTGACTCTGGAACTCAGCTGTGTTCCCCTCTGCACTAAGCTGGCTTCCTGGCCTCTGACCCTGAGTCATGTCCTGAATTCAGTTGCACTTGGTCTTGCTCTTTTCTTCGACCCACCTCTCCTTTACCTTTCATCCCCTTGTGTCTTCATTGATTTCCACTGTCATCTCTCACAGCTGTTCTTCCCCCCACACACACACCCAGTCCATTATCCTCTCCTCTCCCTCCCCACCTGCTCCCTCCACCTGCTGCCTGTTCCTCCCATTATTTCATCTACCTATTCCCTGAAGCAGGTGCCCTCTGCCCTCCCCTGGTTTGCTCTCTGCCTGGCCCCTGCCCTCCCCTACGGCCTGGGCTTTCCCCTTCAGCTCCTCCAAGCTCAAACAAACCCGTTGGACGGGCCTCCCTGCGTTCCCTGGGAGGAGTTGTCATGGCAACAAGAGTGCAGCTGCCACCTGACACCCCTAGCGGATGGCCTGGTCCGCGTGGGGCTGAGTCACCCACACACCCCAAGGCTACCCACCCCATCAGACTACCCTCCTCCACCCCACCTTGTCTTTCCCACTGACTTACTGGCCTCCCAGCCAAGTGCAGTGGGAGAGGTCCCACCTACTCCCTCCTGAGAGGGGGTGCTCCCAGCGTGGGTGGGGTGGCTTCCTGGAAGAAGGGAGACACTGAAGGGGGTGGTTCCCAAACCTGGCCACACTTTTCACAGAACCCACCCAGGGCCGTTCTTACAAGCACGGTTTCCAAGCCCCTTCCCGACACTTGGATTAGAATCTTCAGACACGCGGCCCAGATGTCAGGGTTTTTAAGCTCTCCAGGCAATTCTCTCAGCCAGCCCAGCACCAGCCAGAGGACCTCCATGTGGTGGCATAGCTTCTGGGGACCCCTTATCATTTTCTCCGGGGCTCCTCTGTCCTGGTTGGGTCTTCAGGCTGGCTTGGGAAACACCCATCCCTGTGGATGGGAGAAGACAGAGACATGGGTTCTGAAAACATCGCCTCTTTGGGGGAAAGTTTCCCTGGTGCCCTGGCTCTGGGAGCACGTAGCCTCTAGAACTGTCATGATGTCTGATGCACATGCCACGCGATCCCAGGACTGGTGCGATGTCTGCGCGCCCCATGCTGCCTCTGGCTCTCTGAAGAGGCCTCTCCTTATGAGCTTTGCTTTGCACTGACCTCGCACTAGTAGGTGCCAAATAGATGCTGAATGAATGATGATGGGAGAGGCAAGGCTGGGCTGTAAGGGTAAGAGCTGAAGCCCAGAG